ATCGTGCCAACAGAGTATTGGGATTTTCTTTCATAAGTAAAACCAGCCTTTGGAGCTTGTGTTTAGTATGCACGACGTTAGAACTGCATAAAATTAATAAAAATTGTTTAAAGTTAGTGTCTAGCCGCCAAAAAGTAAGAATACAAATGCAAAATAATAGATTTTTCACAATTTTCTAACACTTCGCTACACCAACGAAAGCAAAATTCTGTTCGACAGAAAATTCGATACTCAACGAAAATTTCGACACGCTTTGCATAGCTCATAATACGAATTTCATTTTCGATCTTCGACAGCCAGCGTATATTAAAATCGATATTTTGGAGGCATCGAATGAATTAAAAATATATATAAGAGAATGCAACAATCGGAACTTCGATAAGTGTTTAAGTATTAACTCACGGTGAGATGTATTTATTCACACCTCCCAGTTATACCAATAAATTCATAAAAATTAAATAAGATATCAGATGCTTTATAATCTAAAAACTATATATAATGCTTTGTTTTCATTATGTCAAAATTACTGACATCAAATACTGCCTCAACTAACAGCTATTCATTTGGGTCAAATGCGTATTCGTTACATCATAAAAACTGAAGAAATGTAGATATCGCAGTGCATGTCAAAGACTGTTGTCAAATTTTGATGTCAGGTGATCGACATTTAGATGATTGTGAAATTTTTATTTGAGAAAAAATACTTTTTATTCGTATTTATTTTGGAGCGATATGGGTAATTAATCACATTAATGCAAGTTCAACTGAATCTCTTTTTTGATTTGAGTTATAATTTTTACAAACAAACTTTTAAATATTCGGTAAATTTTTTTTTTGAAAATTCGAAAAATTTCGAACTAAATAGTTTTCGTATCGAATAATCGAATGGTTTGGCAATGTTCGAAACTCGGAAAAAATTGAATTTCAACCCCCATTACCCATCCCTAAAATAATATACATTTCATTATATTAGCTAACCAAGCCCAACCGGAATTGCTTTATTGGCATTTTAGGCTTTAGCATATCCAATTGGTGATGAAATACGGAATAAAAACTTGAAAATTTAGTTTTGAGGTCTTCTGGAAAACCATTATAGTTTACATTTGAATACCGTGCATTGAAATACATATTTTACGATTGTCACTCCAAGACAGATTTTTGAAAAGATGACCGTTGTTTGTTTATTAATTTAATAGATGTATTTTAAATAACTTTACAGAGTTTATAAGATAGCGTTTTCTTGTGACCAATTGTGTCAAAAACTGACTTCTCAGAAAACTAACAATGAATGGATGAATACAAAGTAAAGTCAACCAGATGAATACTCGAAATAGCGATGGCAGTCATAATAGGGATGGCAGCTGCTAGTGATGGCACTAATGATGTGGATGACAGCTCGGCCTCTCCTGACAGAAACTCAGTGGGGTCATTTATTCTGCATCGCTATCGCCGTCAGAGTAACAGTCGTCGTAAATTTTTGGGAATAGAGCACACCAGGGTTTCACTTTGTCTGGTGTGGCGATGGTGCTGTAACGTCGCTGTGTACGCTGACTTCCGTCGACATCCTCGATGACATACCGGTCGTAGCGTAAAACTTTCTTCACCATGTACGGGCCCTTGTATTTAGGCTGCAGCTTCCTTGACTCGCCTGTACTTGTGGGTGGAGCTTCAAGAAGCACCAAATCTCCTTTATAAGGAACAGGTTTGCGATGTTTAGCATTGAATCTAGTTTTCCATTTCTGGCGAGCTTCTTCAATATTTTACACGGCCTCGCTGCGTCGACCATTCATATGCAAATCCTCATTGTCGTTAAGTGCCGCCAAGAGCTTATTTCCACTCAAATCACGTAGTGGGAAATCGTAAAGATCCATTGGAGCGACCTTCGTTTTAGCGTTGATCTTTGTATTCATTGTCCACTGAAGCATGCGGACATGGGTATCCCAATCTTTAGAATCATTCGTAGATGGTTTCAAGGACGCCAACTCGGCTTGGTTAACGCCTTCCGCTAAGCCATTTGAGCGAGGAGTGCGCACTGCTACCTTCACGTGTTGGATGTTAAGAGACTCAGAAAATGTTTCGAACGCTGATGAGGTAGATGCTGACCCTCGATCGGTAACAATTCGTTGCGATAGTCCAAAGTAAAGCGTTAACTGATCGACGACTGGCTTCGTTTTTTTTTGACCTGGTGGGAACTATGATGCAGTATCTTGTGAGAGCATCGACAATCACCAGAACGTATTCGTAACCACGACGGCTTTTCGGGAACGGCCCCAGGTGATCAAGGTGCAGTGTATGGAACGGTATGGGCGGAGTGTCCATCCCATACAATTCACATTGCCTCCGTAATGGTTGTCGGTGATACCAACACTCTAAGCAAGATCCGATATAGCCCTTCACAAAGTTTCTCAAACTTGAAAACCAGAAATGTTGCAGTTAATGGTTCCCTCCAATCCGGGATGTCCTACACCGTCATGACAGAACCTGACAACTCCCCATCGCATCCCTTTTGGCACGACCAGAAGTAACCGCCCGTTTTCACTCTTCCAGAACAGTCGGTGATCCTTCAGTGCATACTCAGCGACGATTTGGTTTTTTGTCAATGTTATTGTGGCTTGTTAACATTTTATTTTTAATATTTTTATTGAGCTTTGTACCACGATTGTTTATTAGGAAAAATTGAAAAAGCAACAAAGTCTAAGCGGTAGAAGTTATAGCCCTATTCCTACTCCTCATCAGACTTCTTTTTTCTAGACTTCAGCAGGGATCGAACCTGCGTATTCGATGTTCAAAGTCAGAAGCGTTAACCACTGAGCTATGTGCATCCCGTAAACTCTTGTTGCTAATTCATCTTCCTTATTCAGCCAACTACTATCAAGTGCAGCTGATTTGCCACTATTTAAACTCGACAGCGTGGTTGTTATTGTCAATTCTATACATCCATTTGCTTATTTGCTTTTTTGAATAGTTTCAGGCAGGCTCTTCCTAAACTACGATTTTGTTCCGTTGATCTGAATGAATTGAGCCTTGCAGCAGATACACTATGTTTTTAAGTTTCTCATCTTGCCTCTGCATCGTTCCCAATCACATATGATATCGACAACACCTTACATGCAACATCCTCTACGATCGGTGTTCCCTCGACTAGCGCACGACTGATTGCGTCGACATGGGCCATTGACACCCCAGCTCGGTGCATAATCGCAAAATCATATTCTAAAAGCTTTAGAAACCACCGCGCCACTCTGGGCATCATAGGATAGGAGTGACAGTCAGTGACGATAGTGAACCTCTTACCCAATAGGAACATCGTAAACCGTTCGCACGCTTCAACCACCGCCAAAACCTCCAATTCATACGGATGATAGTTCCCTTCTTTCGGCGTACACGCTCGACTAAAATAGGCAACCCGTTTTAACCCGTTCCCAGGTTCCTCTGCAGAAGAATAGCAGCAATTCCCATGCTGGACGCATCTGTATAAATTTCACGGTTTTTAGCTACGTCGTATATTGTGAGCACTGGCGCCTCACTAATAGCCTTTATCAAATGCTTAAAAGCTTTTTCACATTCTGTACCCCAATCAAATTCTGCGCCCTTCTTCGTAAGTTGCGTCAGCAGTTTAGCAGTCAATGCGTACCCAGGTACAAACTTACGGAAAAATCCGGTTAAACCTAAAAAACGTCTAACTTCCAGCTGAGTACTCGGCTTTGGACACCTGCACCTACCTCATGCCCTAAGAGGTAACCTGACTTCTCATAAACGTAAATTTCGAAGTTCTCAAAGTTAACCCCTCGTCACGAATAATTTTCAAAAACTCATCGAAATAGTACAAATTTCTACGTTATGTGTCGCTATTATTACCTCATCTACGTAGCTCACAACAAATTTACTTAACGAGGCGACTAATTGCGTCCTCATACGCTGGAAAGTGCACGGAGCGTTACGTAACCCAAATGGCATTCTATTAAATTCAAAATGTCCATTGTGAGTTACAAACGCTGCCAACGGTTTAGCCTCCTCACTCAACTCGATTTGATAATAACCCGATATAAGATCTAAAGGGGTGGAAAACCTTTTCCCCGAAAGCGTAGCTAACACTCCATCCACTGTAGGCATCAACCATGGTTACTTTTCTGTAACAGCGTTGAGCTCGCGGAAGTCAACACATAACCTCTCTTCTCCGTTCTGTTTGCGCACCAACAGAATGGGTGATGCGTACAGTGAATCCGACTTTCGTATTATTCCCAATTGTAGCAGCTCATTAACTATCTCCTCCACAATGCGTTGCTGCAATTGGTTTACCGGAAGTGACCTTTATTTCCATTTTAAATCGCTTTGATTTACCTAACTCAGGAAGCCTTTCCCCAAAACAATATGCGTACAAATTAATGAAATCAACAAGACCCTCTTGGACGCTTAGCGGTAGATTATTTCCAATGTCCAGCGCTTCGTCACCAATCCTCTTTATCTTACACGAATTACCCTCAATGATAACCTTGCCTTTAGACAACAATTCGATTCTTACAAATGCTTCGTATGCCATTGCTGCATCTTCCACGACTAACATTTGAACGAATCTGGTCACTTCATCAATCCTAATTTTTGTTATTAACTTTTCACGACAAACGGTTTCCCCACCCGAAATTCCAAACAACTTTTCCTCGCAAGCAGCAAAACTTTCCCCAATTCGTAGTGCAATTGACGGTTTGATCAACGACCTACAACTGCCAGAATCAATAAGCGCATTACACTGTATTTCTTTCTTGCCTATTAAAGTGATACCTTTACAAATCTCTTTGCACACACTTCGCGTAGAAACTTTGTTCACTAGTGTGTTAGCTTCCTCTACTTCACCCTCAGACTTATTGCTAATTTGATTTGTTCTTTCACGTTGCTTAAATTCAGTTATTTTACGTGGCTTACTGCAATTCCTCGAAATGTGCCCCCTTTCTTTGTATATTGAAGCAAATAGGACCAGTTGCGTTACGTTTTACATCATTCATGTTGCTATTTTGCGCCATTGGCCTTCCAACTTTCTTTAAAAATTCATTTTGTTTACATTGACTCGCATTGTTCGCGTGTATATTAATCAACGACTGCAACAAATCAGCACATTTCGAGAAATGCATTGCGCTCAACGTTTTGTGCAATCCCTCATCATTCAACCCATTTATTACATACCAAATTATCGCACAATCTTCAATGAACTCTCTTCGCCCCATCGCTAATAACTTTGTAGTAAAATTCAACAACACTCCCCCCTTTAACCATCTTAGTATTCATCAACCGAATGTGCACATCAGCTGAATTTTTAAAGTAAGGGAAATCGGTTAAAAACTGACCTACAAATTCACTCAATGTTTTAAACACTGGCTGCGCATCTGCCCACTGTTTAGAAACACCTTTAAGTTTACTGAGGACAGCGAAAGTGAGCAGGGTATCCTCCCAATTATACAAATTCCTCAGCTGCTCAATTCTTTCTATAAACAGAATTAACGAGTATGCACTGTCCCATGGATAAAACTCTGGCAATACTGCTGCTACTTCACCAGGTGTGTATCTTGCTCTCACGTACATTGTCTCTTGCAACGACACTGGATGAACGCTTGTTGTGAAATCATTCGGCTGCGACCCGAACACTTTCCCCTGCATGGGTTCTACATTGCTCGGTGATGATGACGTGACATTCATTTGAGTTGTCTGCTGCTGCGTATAAAGTGAAACGTTCGCTTGCGTCGGTGAGAACGTTGGCCACTGCGTTTGCGTCGACGACGGCACACATATTTGCGTTGGAATCGGCTGTGAACCATAAGGTGTATTGTTTAGCCAAGGCGTTGTAGAGAATTGAAACGTTGGCCATTGCGTTTGTGTCGACGACGGTGCACATATTTGCGTTGAAATCAGCTGTGAACCATAAGCTGTATTGTTTATCCAAGGCGTTGTAGAGAATGGAAACGTTGGCGGCGCCTGCGGCAACGTCATAGAATTCAACTGTCCATACAATGGTGCGGCAAGTAATATACTTGACAGCGACTGCGTGTCTGCTTGCTGTATCTTTGACTGCTTATACGATAAAGTATTGTGCAACGACAAACTGCTCTGTCTAAAACTACTTTGCATGCCCATCGTGGTCACCAGAGCGTTCGTCATCGATGAACGAAGAGTCTGCAGCTGTGCCGTCAATAGCTCTACGGCGCCACTCAGGCAACTCACCTGTTCCTCCAACTGCTTCCTGACTTCCGAATCGTTACTCGTTGATGCATCGCTCCTCTCTTGACCAGCACCTTCGCTGGGGGCAGCTCCTAGCGTCGTCATTACTTCCTCAATATTTTGGCTTACCACCTCCTCGTCCAGCTGCTGTAATCTGCTAATTAGCTCCGCCTTGTTTCCGCTCGTCTTTTGCTCCAACTTTTTCAGCACACTTTTAAGCTGCATTACTGTGAGGTCGTTTAGGTTCATGACCACTTCTGATAACACTGTGGAACAAATTCAGGTTAGCAAAAGTTCTTCTGTTCTGAGAGTGAGGGGTGAAAATAGAGGCTAAATTAGAAGACCCGTATCGCGGCGTTTGTTTATGTTAGTTCGATTTTTTTTTTAATCGACCTTCGAACTTTGCAGTCAAATGCCGATTTTCAGCATATTGTTTATATGGTTTTTGGCTATAACTCGTCGACTAATTGATATTTTTTCAATCTGTTAAAGCCAAATTATTGCTAGAGACCTGTGCAACAATTAAAATTAAAAAAAAAAGTGATTTAGAAAATTTTTGTAGTGCTTATGAAGCAAAATGTTGGAAATTTTTTTTTCATGCTTTTTGAACATATTTTCCACAAAACTAAGTATTTTTTGCTTTCTGTTTGATCTATAATATGCTTCTCAGTTTCTTCAATAAATTTCATTTGAAAAGAAAACAATCATAATACAGCGCTTGCGTTTTTCAGCTTAATATTAATTTACTTCTCATTTCTTATGCACCAATTTTTTCAGTGTTGGTTTTGAAGAAACATTGAAAAAGAAATTATAAAAATATGGAAAAAAATATAATTTTTAAATGTAAGTTATGAAAAGTTATAAGTAAAAAAATTAAATAAATTAAATTAATGATTTGGCCAGTTGCCGTTTAGCAGGCGGCTGTGGATCAACATCACTGCTCTCTCTAATATCTTGGTCATCATCATCATCATCAGAAAGGTCGATAATTTCGTCCAACAGATATTCTGGAATTACATCTTTGTCTTCCCCTTCTTCCTCTTTTTCCTCGTCTTCCTCTTCTTCAAAGGTGTTTTTATACCACCAACAAATTTCAGCGAGTATTGCATCCGGAGATTTCTTTCCTCTGTACCTGAAACGAAAATAGTTTTCAATAGTTAACATGTTTAAATTGTGCACTTTGACAAAGATATTAGAAAAATCTAGGAATTCAAAATATGCACACTCTATAGTTACCTTATTTCAAATGGAAGCGCAGTTTGGTGATAACGTTCGCCTTGCTCATCAGATTCAGTTGGCAACTGTTGAGCGAGTTGATCAAGATGCTGATGCAAGAGATGAATTTTGTACGACATATTAACCCCAATTTCATAGAAACCTGCCAACATGTTTGCAACAGATTGCCTGAAGTTGTCTTTGCGTTCTTTCCCCAAAAGTCCTTTAATGACTGCTTTCAATGCGAGCCATGCATTTAATTCTCGGTCTGTCAGAACTTGGTCAAAATCTTGACGACTCATTAGTTTCCGTATGTCGGGACCATTAACAACCCCTTCCTGAATTTTGGCGTTACTTAGTCTTGGGAAAATGTCATTTAAGCGGTTGAATACTGCTGGTCTTTTTGCGATATATTTCAAAAAATTTTTAGCAATGCCAAGTTTAATGTGGAGCAACGGCAACAAAATTTTCATTTCAGGAACAAGACTTTCGTGTAGCCTATTGTCTTTAGGCCATTTCCGTCCAATGCGACTATTCCAGTTATGCTGTTTGTACTGCTTTCTTCTTTTAATACCTTCTCCGTATCGTGAATCCCAATCGCTCAATCAACACGGATATTTTGGACGGCCAGATGCTGTTAAGCCTGTAATCAATGAAACTATTTTGAGGTCGCAGCAAATGCGCCACTGGTGTTCGTTATATTTGACTACTTCCAGAATGTGTTTCAAATTATCGAAATTTTCACTAGTGTCAGTGCTATACGCAATTGGAACAGAAGGCATTCTATTCGTCTTGTGCAAAAGCACAACTTTTAAGCTGATTAGTGAACTATCGATGAATAAACGCCAATCATCTTTTTTATAGGTTAACCCTATCGTCTCCATTAACTTTTCGATATCGTTGCAATAAGCGAAATTTTTTGCATTATTCACATTGAAGAACTTTTCTAACTCTTTTTGGCATTTTCGATATGCTGTTACTTTGGTACCATCGCCAGCAAATTATTTCCTTTCAAAAATGAAGCCAGTTGTTCTGATTTTTTCTGAGTCAAACACAAAATTGCAACAATTGCATCCAATTGCTTTTGTGTGACTAGGATTGGATCCTTTGATGTTTCATAGGATGTACCTTCACCAGGGTCGTATTCTGAGAAGAAATGCATGTATATAGCAGCGGCGGTTGTAGTACTGATACTGNAGAAATGCATGGATACAGCAGCGGCGGTTGTAGTACTGATATCTGTTTGAAGATCAATACTTCGGTATGTTGGTACTGCAACGAATTCTGAGTACGGTAATGGTAATTGGATACTTGGCACTGTTTTATTCTTTGCTTTCCTTCTATTCAAAGTTTTATGGTAGTTGATACATCCATAGCAATTTTCTTGTTGATCCGGGCTGTTGTCTAACCACATCATTGGTATACCAAAAGGCATAGCCTTCTTCTTTTCACTTTTCCATTGCATAACACTTGAATAGCAATTATAATAATAGATTGGCGCTTACACATATGTTAGTGTTTGGACGAGCTTCTCCTCCGATTTGTGCTGTGCGCCTTGATGTTGTCACACAAAGCGGAGGGACCTACAGTTTTACGTCGACTCCGAACGGCGATTGTATTTTTATGAGAAGCTTTTTTCATGGCAGAAATACACTCGGAGGTTTGCCATTGCCTGCCGAGGGACGACCGCTGTTAAGAAAAANGAATAGCAATTAAAGGAAGCTTTTTTAGGGGCATAGTTTACGTCAGTGATAAACTCTTGCGAGAAATATTGTTTATAGGCTTCCAAAAAACAATCACTCGCATTGCCACATTTTTCATCGCTTGCTATGAAACGTCCACAAACATTACAAAAATGGTCCATTTTACATTTTGGTTCCGACATTTTTAATACAATATATATTATACAATGTTGTTTTTGTTATTTNGCTGCAACTAACTTTAAAGTCGACTTTATTTTGACTATGACTACGGGCCATTGTTTATAGGCTTCCCAAAAACAATCACTCGCATTGCCACATTTTTCACCGCTTGCTATGAAACGTCCACAAACATTACAAAAATGGTCCATTTTACATTTTGGTTCCGACATTTTTAATACAATATATATTATACAATGTTGTTTTTGTTATTTTTATGAAACCGTTGCAACTAACTTAAATCACTCACAAAATGAAATAAGTTCCAAAAAAATAATAGCGAATTTTATCACGACCGAGCGAAAATAAAAAGACGTCAGCTTCGGCTGAGTTTCGAGTCTTAACTGAATATTTATTTTTGATATTAGTTCGCTTGTACGAAATAAATAAAAATCGCTACCTGTGCGGTGGTTGGAAACAAAAAAGAGGAAGACGAGGAAAAAGGGGAAGGGGAAGAAATTTGTTGCATTTGACTGCAAAGTTCGAAGGTCGATAAAAAAAAAATTCGAACTAACATAAACAAACGCCGCGATACGGGTCTTCTAATTTAGCCTCTATTTTCACCCCTNCTGTTCGCGCTTATTTGTACTAATTTGTATAGTACCAGTTTTCTCGCATTGGTTCTCGCAATAAGCGTCAGTCGGCTCGGCTCGGCAACAAGCGGCCACTCTGTTCGCGCCCTCAGAATCGATCTAACTTTTACTAACCTGAATTTGTTCCACAGTGTAATCTGTCACTCCAAGACAGATTTTTGACAAGATGACCGTTGTTTGTTTATTAATTTAATAGACGTATTTTAAATAACTTTACAGAGTTTATAAGATAGCGTTTACTTGTGACCAATTGTGGCAAAAACTGACTTCTCAGAAAACTAACAATGAATGGATGAATACAAAGTAAAGTCAACAAGACGAATACTCGAAATAGCGATGAATACTCGAAATAGCGATGACAGTCATAATAGAGATGGCAGCAGTGGGGATGACACGATTGTTCTTGAATACTTGACAGATTTCCCAAAATCCTTTCAGTTCGTATCAGTGGATTGTTAAATAAACACTCAAGATGACCAAATTATAGTACAATTAACTTTATTGTACAACAAACACTTTACAATGCTTGTTAGGCCCTCCACCTAAGTCTGATCGTCCCAATTGCTGTTCCAAACGCTGCAAGCCGTTCCAAGTGGACCATATTTATCTTGTTTCTAGTTTTCAGCCGTTTGACAACCTTATACGTCCTTCCCAGTTACGCCGTGGCTTAGAGGTGAAGCCTTACTTCCGCTGCGGCTTGTACAACAACACCAAATCGACTTCCAGGAAACCCTCTCGGCTCGATGCATTGCAGGACAGTGCTTCTGCCATGTCTCTTCTCATGGGCACCCTTTTCGCTGCATTTATGCCGATTCCTCTGTCCATGCAAAAAAGCAACAATAGAATCTCTTCGTAATCCTATCGAGGGTTTTCTTGATTACCAGGTGCTTCCCTTTTGCACCTCTGTGGAACTGGCTAAGAATGTCCGGAACTCTTACCTTCGGAACAACCACTAGATTCCGGAAGCATCGGCCACCTTCGCTCTTCCATATCCGATGCACGCAACTAGTTGCCAAATTGAAACTGCCCCATTGTGCCCAGCATGCCTTTGCAATTGGACTCTCCGCTGACACTTCCTTCCTGGTCGGTCGCTTCCTCAGCTCCAATCCTCGCATCACTACTGCTAAATCCAGATCCTCCCGCTGAAACTTCCGTAGTTGTTCAACTTCATTGACCGGATATGTAGCCTCAACCTGGGCCACGACCTTTTCCTGGATACTTCGATGCGCGCGCACTGCTTTCACAGCCACCGGCGGAACTATTTTCAAATGTAATGTCCTCACACCGATTATAACGTTTCTTGACACTTTGAAATTGATGTCTGTAAATCAGCGCGTTATATTGAACGTATCATGTTTTATTTTTAAAATTAAAAATAATTTGCCAGTATATCTAACTTTTGAGATAGCTATGTAGCCGATGTACAGCCATATCAGCTTAGAAATAATAATGATTTTAGGAGATCACCTTTAATGACAAATGCGGCACAGAATAATTTATTTTATAAAGGAACTAACTTTTTTAATTCCTAACCATTAGAAATTAAAACTGAATCGAATATTTATATATTTAAAAGAAACGTGATTGAATTTGTTAAAGAAAATTATAATTAAGACCCGAAATGTAATTGTAAATTCTTACTCTTATGTTGTAAAATAGCGAAATTGCTAAATAAATAAATACTACTACTACATCTCCATTGGAACGTAGTTCATTGGCTCTCTTCCTGCCGGAACCACTGCCTGTTGAGCGTGTATCTGGCCTGCTATGACCACTTCCTTGTGATGACTTATTTTTTTCACTGAGTTGGGGGAACCGTCACGTTTTTTCTTTATGGCTGAACCTCTTCTTTCTCCGGTCGAAACAACTCCATCTCCATCACTGCCAACCTCTGCCCAACTAACTGCTTCCGTTTTTGGTGGAATCTTCGGGGCTGCCTCTAAGAGCAATCGTAGGCTGCAGTACTGGCTATCGTACGCAACCCTAAGTGGCACTTTCCTGTCGCGATATGTCTTCTTGAGGTTGCTAAATTTCTCTTTTCCAACTCCTGTTTGAGTTCCTAGATCTTTAGGCCCTAAATTTTTGCCATTATAAAATTTTCCCCAATCGGATTTATTTAACAATCCCAAATCTGATACCAATTGTTACGATTACCCTTGAATACGGATTTCTCAAAATCCTCTGCGTTCGTATCACTGGATTGTTAAATAAACACTCAAGATGACCAAATTACAGTACAGTTAACTTTATTGTGCAACAAACACTTTACAATACTTGTTTAGGCAATAACAATAATTAACAATACTTGTTAAGACAGTTACAACACTTTACAAAACTTGCCAACATAATTGATCTCTGCTTTACAACAGAACTTGTAGCTTGCTGATTCGCAACTGAGCTTCGTGTGCGCGGTCGCAGCGCCCTTATATACTTGCGCTTTCACTGATGGCAACTCTAGAACGTTCTGCCATATATCGCACATCCTCATTCTCTTGCTGTTCGCAGTATTCCTCCACTTAACGTTTCTTGCTGTCGAATATTCTACGTCTTTCATCGAGCATTCTGCCATTTTCTTGTCGTTCGCTTCGCGCTGCCGTAGTATTCGCCACAATGTGAAAAGATGTGTATTTTTGAAAAACTGGACTTTTTTGTGAGGAGGTAAAAAATAAAACTCAGATTTTGGTTACTATTTTAAGAGATAACTAAAGTGCACGTCTTTTTTGCACCTGGGGCCAACAAATTTTTTCTTTTAAACTAGAATCCAATACCTCTAGAGATTCCTTAGATAATACTAGAACCCTTTTCAAATCATTTAATACTTTTTGGGTGAAAGGTTTTGGCTTTGTATATGCTATTCCTTCCAAATCACTGTCACTGCTTACTTTCTTAAAGATTTCTTCCAATGATGGGTCACGGATGGAAGAAAATGTTAGAATACGTACTTCCTCTGAATACGTTTACAAAAAGTTTGGGGTACCGCGGCTTCCAAGAAAAATCTTCTTATAAATTCTCTTAGATATCTTCAAAATCTTTTAAATGTATAATCCCCATAAATGTAAGAAAATACATTTGGTTCAGTGAGAAAACTTCCAAGCGATGAAGGCATTAAAATAACAATTTATATATAGAAGCGTTCCGATGAGACTTCAAAATGCGTCCTGAGAAGTATTGATTACAGCCAATACAGGACAAAATTCGCCAAGTGTACCATGAAATATTTTATGTCAGCGTTTTGGTTTTTTGTCGATTTTAAGAGTTTAAACATGCAAATCTCAGTCCTTTTTCTTATAATCCAAAATTATCTTAAAATTCGTATTTCATGTCACACTTGTGAAACAGTATCAAAAATTGCTGACCTATTAGAACTTTTTCCGTGCTTTTTGGTGGAAACTATAATTTATTTTCTAAGCTTTCCAAGGATAAATAATTTGTATTCTTCTTATTTGGCACTACAACCGTTTGTCGGTTTGGGCCGAGACCAACCAACTTCGCCAGTTGCCTCTCTCCTTTGCAAGTCCGGCACCTGGTACTTCCATTATGTTCGTGGGTGCCCTTGCTTTCGTTGTCCACCCATGGATGCGGAGTCGAAGGATCTTTTCACCTGAGCGTCGTCATCCATGCGTACAACACGTCCAACCCAGAATCGCTGTTGTTGTTGTTGTAACCGCATACAGATTCCCCAAAGGGTTTTTGGGAGTATTGCTGGAGTTACAGTGCTTGACCAGATATAAGTCTGGGTCGTTCCGGTTACGTAGACCCGACTGTCGTGGGAACGCACGCAATCGTTGTATTTTTATGCGCTTAACTATGCCTATGTCGTTTAAACGCTCGTACAATTCGTCATTCCATCTTGTTCGGTACTCGTCGCACACGCGAACGGGGCCATAGATCTTGCGTAGAATAGTTCTCTCGAAAGCGCCAAAACCTTCTTATCTTTGTTAGACATCGTCCAGGTTTCAGCGCCTTATAAAAGGGTGTGGCATGATGAGAGATTTGTAGAGCGTCATTTTTTTCGCGAGAGAGGGTTCTCCTTTTCAATTGCCTACCGAGCCCAAAGTACCTGTTGGCCATGATACAATAAAACAAGGTTAGATAATTGTTGGCAGCCGCGGTTTGACACTCCCTTACAAAAGGTTGCATTTACGAAGGACAGAGAAAGGAGAAGAATGCAATCCCTTGTTGCGAAAATGGTAGTAGAAAAGTACGCAAAGTAGGCAGTTAGTAGTGAAACTCCTTTTGTAAATTCTAATGTATTGGCAGGAAATCTGACATTTTAAATGAAATATTGAACGAAATATTAATATATCTACGTGAATTACGTAATTTATGTGCTATTTAGCTGTATAAAAACTGCAAAAGGACTCAAAATTAAAATAAAACTACTATGAGATTTATGTAAACATCCAATTTAAAAACAATTTATGTTTTCATCAGTTAAATGTGCTTCATATGCATAAACATATTGCACAAAAGCTTATACTTCTATTTCCCAGCAAAGCTACACTTTTTCCAAGTAAATTTGCAAAGAAGCAACACGGTGCCACTGCTAAGGGAGCGGTGCGAGAGAGACAACTGTCAGTTTATCGAACCTTGTATTATTGAATCATGCCTGTTGGCAAGAGTTATTCTTCGCTTTATCTCCAGACGGACATTATTGGTGGTGTTTATGCTGGATCCTAAGTAAACAAAGTTCTTCACAAAGTTACGACTGCCAGACCGACTGTGCCCCAATGCACGAAGACTTTTTATGTGTTGCCAGGAGGTACTTTGTCGTGTCCTCGTTCACCGCTAGACCAACCTCGTTAGCTGCTTTTTCTAAGCTGCAAAATGCAGCGTTGACATTTTTCGGTTTCAGGCCAACGGTTTCAATATCATCTGTAGAGTCTGACGGATTGTTCGGTTTCGGTTTGCCGATTAATCGGCAATATTTTCATATTCGGTTCAATGCTCGGCCGAAACTTTGTGCTGTCTAGTTTTTTTTGAACATGTATTATCATTATTGTGAATAATCTGTTTGAAAAAAATGCAACTTTTTCTTAAAATCAGCTGTCAGCTGAGAACTTAGAAATTTGAAATTGTGATTAAGAAATACATATACATACAAAAGAGTACTTAGAGGTGCTGATATTTTTCTATATTGGAATTCTAGCTCCCTAGAGTTACTTAAAGCAGTTGCTGAAAATTATCTTTCTGCTCCACCGTGGGCGTACGCAGAGCACAATTTGGGGGCTGACTGATTTGAAGCGAACCCTACAAAAGAGTTGAAATTGTATGAAGTTTATTATAAACCTATTG